TGTCGTAGTAGCTAATAGTCGTCAGATTCACCACGAATTCTGCAACTTCTGAACTTTATTTCGGTAAATATAACGCCATGGTAAGGTGACATGGTTTCATTAGACATTGAGATCTGATCGGGTTCGTGAATGCGCTTTTAAGCAGAGTATTGTTCTGTTTGTGTAATGAACAGACTTGGGTATGTAGTCTCAGCACGACAGCCGCTGATAAAAACGAATAAGCAGCTCTCGCTCGAGAGAAGTTTTCCGCTTTGTGAGATGAAAAAACGCAAGAATAATCGTAAATATCGCTATGAAATGCAAGACATGCAATAAATACGATAAGGGAGAAGAACAAGAAAGCAGCCCTTGTCAGTTCACGCTAGATAACCAACGACGCTACTGCAGAGTTCTGTCCTGAAAACGGCTGAACTTCAAATCTTTATCGTGAATTTCAAGTTAGCGAGGAGATAATAACAGCCTCTCAATTTAGTAAAACGTAGAACGATTGCGATAGTGATTCCTAGTTTGCACACCTACTGCTGGATTAATCGCAGTGGCCCAGTTTCGATAGTTATTTGGTCTCCTGCTGGTAGAGAAACCAGTGAATAAGCACAGACCTCAATAGCGAGGAAGATACTGAACGGTGAAGAATGTATGAGACTACTGTCGGAAATTCCAGCATTCTTGTAGGAAAAAAGGCAAACCGACAAGGCGCTTGCTGAGCTCAGCAATATCGTCTCGAACTGGAACCATCTGTGCATGATGTGCAGTTCAGGACGTATTGCTAGCACTTTCTCGTAACACATCTTCGACTCAACTATCACATTAGACGAGGTCGACTGCGAACTAACAATGTCTAATGCAATGAAGGTGCTAAATAAGTATTTATTAGTAGTCAAAGAATAGTTCTTGAGAAAACAGCTATTAGAATGGAAATCACGGACCAGTGTTAATGTCACTTGAAACGTTCCTGGAAATATCAGCGGTTGATGCACTTTCTAGCAGTACAACACGTTCGAATAGAGCTGGTAAGATTAGCTGTTCTGACTAGACTTCAAAAGACCAGTGCGAGTTTGTAGAAGCATCTTTTTTACAAACATATCTTTGTGAAACCATGGAACTAAAAAAAACTCGTTTTGATGGTTGAAGAAGCCTGAGTAGTTTCGTGATCAATGAGGACCAGGGCGCTCAGGCATCGTAAGAAAATTCTTATTCGTTATCAGTTAAAACAACGGTGCGTGTGGCGCAGTGGTTGAGAGGCGCCATGCAACATACGTGTGGAATCGATCCTCGCGGCCATGGCCCACCAAGCCTTCCATCCTTCCGGGGTCGGTAAATTGATACAAGATTTGTCTGCGAAGACAGCAGCACTGGCTCGATACATTGTTAGGCCACCGCGAGTCATTGTAAAGGCCAGACATGCATTCAATGGCTTCCAACGATGCTTGGCGAAGTCGAATGCATGGCGCATCCCTCAGGGTGTGATCAACGCTGAGAGCTTTATCCTTTATCCTTTTATCGGTTAAAAGGGTCCTATTGTGCATGGAGGCTGAAAAACGATCTTGCAGTTCAAGAAAGGACTCAGAGATGACCTCGGAAACGGTATCGGTCTACTAGCGGCATTTCCCAAAAGATATTAACGCGTTTACTTTTGATTAAAATTAGTAACAGCGTGAAAAATCCCAACGTTACGAGGAATTTCGTGACCCACAGCGCGATAGATCACGGCACATTTGAGTGGGATTTCTTTGTACAGATGATGCAGTTTCAAAAAATCATATGGTATAAACACTTAAAATTAAAAATAAAATACGAGCTATTTAGACATAGCAATGACACGGTTTTTAAGGTGGAATAGAGGGCTTACATAATAGTTGTGCAAAACCTTGTATGTTTTTCTCTTTATTTCTATAGCATAGATAATGAAGTCTTAAGGTGTGCGGAGACGAGCGTGTGGCGCAGTGGTCGGAGGCGCCTTGCGACACACGGGAATCGATCCCCGCCCACCAAGCCTTCCATTCCTCTAGCGTCGTCAAGTTGGTACCATACTTGGCTGGAAGGATATCAGCACTGGTTCACAGATCGGTCAAAGTGAGTCATTGTAAAGACCAAATATGCATTCAACTACCTCCAACGGTGCTTAGTGAAATCGATTGCGTGGAGCATCCCTAGGGGGTTGATCAACGTTGTGAGCTTTATCGTTGCTTTTAAGGTATGGGAAAGGAAGAAGATAAAATACTTGTATTTTTAAAAACCCAATTTTTATTTAACCTCGGCATGAATAATCAGATATTCTATTTCTTTTGAACAGTGAAACTCTTCATTAGCTTCGTGAAGATCAGGCAATAGTTTCGTAGGTATACACCAATGATACTGAAGGAGGTAAAATTATGGCAAAAACGTCTCCAATCTGTGTTCCTTTGTAAACTGAGGTCTTTTAAGGGTATTTAAAATGAGCAGGTACTACCGCAAAAAATCGATTGCAAAGCATTTATCCACTTTGGTTAGGAAAATATGTGATATGGAGTTGTTAAAAAAATATCTCATTTCGTCTGGAAAACTCATCTCAGTAAACTTGTTAGCAGTCCTGCCCAGCTTTGTTTATTTCCTGCGCCGCCACTTCTGGTGCTCTGCGCTTTTTTTTTCGTTTTCAGGGTAAACATCTAGCCATGTTCAGCTTCAGCTCTGTATTTCTAGATGTGTGGAGGTTGTAGTGGATGCGGTGTTAATGGGTTCTAGTTCATGGTTTTTCAATAGTTCATTATCATTTCGAGTTTTTTAGGGGGCTAGGTGAAAAACCGCTTATCAATCACGCGCTGAAGCGTAATCCATAGTATTTCATTGAAAATTGAACTGGTGCTAGCTCATTCAACGACAAGGATTTTGATGCGGCGTTGGACTGCTTACTTTGCGCTGTACAGCTAAACCAATCCGATTCGATAACACTTTCTATGGAGGATGATTTGAACTTCAGGGTTGAGTTCACTCGATATACGGAATTGGTGAGCAAGTGGCAACGGATCGCCGGGAATGTTAACTGCCTTTTATGTTGCTAAGCAAGAGTTAAGATGCTTTCACATGTGTGAACTTGAGACTTCTGTGATTAGAGCTCTATATCACGGTAAGAAAACGTGCAAGGGATAAATACTGAGAGCCTATTCAAGAAGAAAGAAATGTTCTAAAGTGCCGGTGATTGTGAATGGTGAAAAATTAACGTAGGTACACAATGATTTGTTAGTTTATGGGAGTTTTATTGAACAGGAGAGTCGGCTGACAGATGACTTATAACCATAATTCTATAAAAATGTGAAGTGGAGGAGAAAGAAAAGGAGAAGCCAATCGTTTCGCAGCAATACAATGAACGTTTCATACTTGCTGTATGGGAGAACGATATCACACGAGCCGCAGCAATCATAAACATTTTCCCAGTGAATTCCTCGAAGTAAACCTCCGTGTCTTCAAATAATTGTAGTGAGCAGTTGGACAGCAGCAGGTAAAGGGATAGGGAACTTCTTTGTAGCCGCTGTTAGAAAAGTTCGTGACATGGAGAAGTTCTAGAGAATATTTCATCTTGTCTGTTAACAAGTTTTATTCTAGGTCGAGTTGCTAGCATATTTATTTTCTTCTTCAGGTCGTCAACAAGATATTTTGTTGAAATCGAAGAAAAATATTGAATCGCGGGTCCATGAATGGTGAAAAAGGTACTTCATCAGGATTACTACAGTGTTCTTGGGTATCAAGTCGGGAGTGGGGCTCATCTCTAGTAGTCCAACCCAGTCTGAAAGCCAGTGTGATACATCTAAAATTGCAAACGGCATATTGCCTGCATGATAAATCATTGGTCGAAGTTCAATTTGTTGTTTACCCTCAAACCAATATCAACAAACCAATATTATAGCCCAAACCACACTTTAAAAAACAAACAATAGTCATATGAACTGCCATCGTGTTAGGAGAAAACTAGTTGCGCTATCCATAATGGTTTTGGTATTGCTATGGAGGCAACTATAAATGTCATAGCACAGCTTTCCAAGGACCCAGGAGAAGAGGTAACTTGTCCAACAAAAGTATTCAAGTATCGCAGAAACTGGAACGATTCTTCGTAAAAGCCAACCATTCAAGGAATAACTTGCTCCCTTTGAATTTAGCGTTTCTTCTGGAGACTAAAGTATTCCGGAACATCATTTTCTAAACCAAGGACTTTGGTATGCAAGTGAAGGTTGAATTTAAGATGATTAGGAAATGTTACTGCGAAAGTGTTCCTTGGAGGCTCAAATATTGACGTTGGTTGGGTCACTTCTAGGAATGCCTGTGGTTGAGTTAATTGTCAAAGATCAGCAGCTCTTTTATTCTTTCTATTGGCTCGCGGAGGCAGTGCTATTCTTAAAATGTCCTCGTTCGACCAAATTATTGAATAACGGTCGGCCATTTATTAGAACTTTGATGCGAAATGTAAAGCTGCTTTTTGTTTTCTCATCCGTACAAAAACCTACCGACTTCGACAAAAGCATACGCAAATGCAAACCGATTTCTTCGTTATCCGAATAAGTACTAAGTGTTTTCCATTGCAACCTAGGAAACCTGCAGTTCACTTTAAACGGTAATGAGATGGTATGTCTGTCTTAATTAGACACCAGCTTCACGATAGATGGAACCGAATTCCACTTGTCTTCATTTTTTGGCGTCGAATACGTTGTATAGTTCGAATTGTCAGAAATTGTGATCTTGTCGGAGAATGTTCCACTACAAACGTTAAAGACCAGAGATTTTCGTACTTTCCAAGATTTATCAGTAATCGGAAAACCCTTTAACGTTTTTTATTAGAATAACAAACAGACAAATCGAATTTATGTGGTGAGCATTATTAGGAACCCGTAATGATTTGGCGTTAAATCTAGGCAACACTTGGTTCGTCTCCGTCTATGAAGCGAACCAATAGCAGAATGAAATGTCAGAGAGAGATATCATTCTTCGAGTTAAACTCACTGCTGTTCTCGCTGGTGCTCTCGTCCTAAATTTTAGAGAATACGGTGCAAATCATGCCAATGAATGATCTCACCAACCACTTCTCGAGCAACTGAGCTCGTCTCGACAATGGTAGACAACCGCTTTACGATCACACTGCGAGAAGGCTCATTTGATAGTCCCTAAATAAATGACTCCTTCAGTCAACCGTTTAATTCCGTGATATTGTGGTGTATTAGACCAAAACTAAGCCCTTGCCGATTTTGGCTACATTTTAAATTCTAATTAGTTTCAATATATCTTCCTTCCAAATAGACTTCGGTTTTTCAACCGATCTGGTTGAAGTGAAGGTGGATAGCTGTGTTAATCAAGCCGACTGTCTTCTCCATAACGTATTTGCCCGTGTCAGGATGAGGCTGGATATCATCATCACGAGTGACTCTGTCAAATATGACCGTCTACACAGATGAAATATTCGTATAGGGCTTGTAAAAGCTTTCGAACTAGAACGATACCGCCCGTTCGCTACTGAGAATCGTGTTGGGTGAGTCATAGAAAAATCGTTTGCGCAGTGAAAATATTAAATTACTGGAGAAAGCACATTAACATGGGCTTCGGCCTAATCAACATCCGGTAAACATGATCTATACCACGAAAGACGATGTAACAGCGAAAATTATCACCCAGTCTTATAAAACATGCTCCAATCACAGTGATACGCTCGTGGTAGCGACCTCTATATGTCGAAATGTCAGGGACCCACGCACAATCGCGGCGTTGATATTCTATGCTGCTTGTAAATAAACTTTTGGATGGACCACATTTGTCGATCTTCACATTCGACTGGCGTTATTTTAGCCACTTCGCCGTTTTATTTGTTTGTTACGTCTTCATCGGGAACATACTCCAAAACGGTTAGAACGCGAAGAAAATCTGCTCGGTTGCTCACCTGCTCCATCTTCTGGTACAGTCGAGAGTCTTCTTCGTCGTCTTCAATTCCATCAGTCACCCACGCCATGCCTTTCCAAACCTGAATGATAAAACCAATCAACCATTTGTGTTTTATGATTCTAAAATGTGCAAGTATCTCCACAATATTGTGTGGTATTCAAATGCATCATCACCACCTTTAGTTTTAACGCTTTAATCGCTGATGTCGAAGAGGATATATAGTTAGGTGGCTAACAAGCCCGTGGTTTCTCTTAAGCATAGAAGGAATTCGACGTTGCTTTCCAAAAGCTGAGGCGAAAATATACGTAACCCACAACCGTCTTTACTACCAACAACTGTCTGCGATTACATGTAATGACAACTTGAGAACCGTGCTCCAGGGAATACAAGGCGATCAAACACGTGCGTCTGTTAATGGCGCCATGCATTGAGGTGAACGATGATGAAATCTCGGTCTGCACACGACGTAGTTGAATCGTATCAAAACATTGCATGGAATAAGGCACAATGTCCACAGCACACAACTGAAACTGTTTCTTGCTTTGCAAAAACAACATGAGAACAGTTTCTTGGGATAGTGACTTCCATTCATTTCTTGTGGCTGCATGTCACATTAACTTCAACGTGATCGGGCAGTGGAATGCCAATGAATTGTTCACTTGTTTCATTTCGTATTAGGTAGTAAGGGTTTCCATTAGGAATGTCGGCACCGACTGATTTTGAGAAAATCATATATCCCACATCGAATCAGAACCTCTCTTTCTTAATGTCGGAGAGGATGGTGATGATTACTTCGTTACGTGATTGCAAAATAGCTCACAAGAAATGACCTACACCTGCGTTTGAATACAATTAGGTCGCTGCCCTTGTTTTCTTATGGAATTATTTCGCACGTTATTCGAAAACTTTAGTGAAGTGTTTGCATTTGCTTAGATCGTTCAGTTTGAGCGAAGCTTTTGTAGAATTCGGCCAACGTTTCGACATCTTCGTCTTTTTGAGTCAATGGTCCATAGTCTTTCGTCATAAGGATGCAGATCTTCGTAAGCGTATCGAGCCGAATCTTCTTGGCTTGAGCACCGCTCGAAAGATGTCACCCCACATCGCGTTGTCCTTTCATACAGGGTTGTTGTTGACTGTCGACTGATAATGATTTATTTTCATGTCAACAGTTGATTTCAATTGAAGATTTGATTTGTCAGCGGTAGAATGGAAATTTCATGTTGTTTAATTCGCTAGCATTGAATTAAGAATGCTTCATGAGAGCACACTTGATCTCAAGTGGTGAACCTTTCTTTAGACAACCAATATCTTCACATCCACCAATTCCATGAGCCTTTCAGTGAGAAGTTGTCGACTAAATTTTCAACTATAACTGAGACATAGACGTTAACCCATAGACGATTCACTGATAAAACTATTTTATTTTCATGACCTATCCCCATGAGGGGGCGCGTGTAAAACGCAGTGGTTTGAGGCGACACACACGTGGGATCGATTCCCGCGCCCATGGTCCACCAAGGCTTTCATCCCTCTGGGGTCGGCAAATTGGTGCCAGACTTGTCTGGGAGGATAGAAGCACTGGTTCGATACATCGGTAGACCACCGAAAGTCATTGTAAGAGTCAGACATCCATTTAGTCACCTCCAACGATGCTTAATGAAGTCGAATGCATGGCGCATCCCTCAGGTATTGATCAACGCCGAGAGCTTTATCCTTTTATCCTTTATCTCAATCAGCAAAAATTAGGTTGTTGAAATCTATAATCTATAGCTTTCCATTGCTGAGCTTCTGGCGACATCGACGTGTGTGCACATTTTCCTCACCTGTATCGCTTATACTCCCGTCGATCGCCGAGTGACTCGAGCGAGCACCAGTAAATCTTCCATTTTTCCCTGCCGCGTGCAAAAGTAGGCCAGTGCGTTCTGCTCGCTCTAGGGCCTCGTCGAACATCATATCTTTCTTCTAGGCTCTTTGTGAAGAACTCTGACCATCGGGTCGGTGGCCTTCCTGGAGTACGTTTGACTTCCCGAAGAATTCAGTCAATAACGGCTCTTTGTAATTCATACGTATTATGTGTCCAGCTTATGTTATCTTCGACTGTATCGCATAGAGAACAACATCCTTGATTTTCGATCGTTGACGCAGGTCGGAGCTTCGGATCTCATCCCTTGTGTGGAACGGGATGCTCCTAGCATTGTCCTTTCGACTGCGCGTTCGACAAGGCTGAGTGATCCTTCATCCTGCTTACGCAGCGACGAGGTTTCTGACGCATACGTCAAGGCAGGAAGTACCGCTGAGTCGAAAAGGTGGACACGGAGTCCGGTTTCTTTTGTTCTCTTCACCACATCCTCGATGCTCTTGAAAGCTCTCCAAGCCGCTCGTTTTCTTCCGCTCAGCTCTGGAGTCAAGTCGTTCATCATATTGATTTCCCGACCTAGATAGATACAACTGGAGCATTCGGAGATATTCGTTGCGTTGTGCGTGAATGGGGCATGCGAAACCAATCCGTTTTTCGTGAACATCGTTTTGTGAGATTTAGTCGAAGACCAATCTTTCCACGGGCTTTATCAAAGTCATCAAGCATACGCTCCGCTTGGCTAATGTTTGGTGTTCTAAGGACGATGTCATCAACAAGGCGAAGGTGGTGTGACTGCCGGCCATCGATTTTCACTCCTATATTATCCGATTCCAATGTTCACATGACGTTCTGGAGGGTGGCGGTGAATAATTTTGGCGAGATGGTATCGCCTTGCTCAACTCCTCTTTTGACGTCAATGTTAATATCGTTGTAGAATGGTGATATCTTGGCTGCGAAATTTTTGTACAGCCCACGAAGAGTCTTTATGTACTGAGTAGGGGCTCCTTGACTATCAAAGGCTTCCATGACTGCTTCTATCTCAATTGGATCAAAGGGCTTCTGTAAATCGTCGAGAGTAAGGCAGAGTGGTCTTTTGTACTTTCGCGATACTTCAATGAACCTTGTTACCGTGTGGAAGTAGTCCATCGTACTAAATCCTTTTCGAAACTCTGCTTACTCACATGGCTATCCTTCGTCTAGTGTTCTGTCAACCCTGTTTAGGATGACTCGAGTGAAAAGTTTGTAGACGACAGACACTAAGCAGATTGGGCGATAATTGTCGATATCATGTAAGTCATCCTTTTTGAACAATAACACGGTCTTACTGATCTACTACTGAGTAGACCTTGCATTCAGACAGATAACGGGTGAAGAGCCGAGCCAGTGTGTTTACGAGGATTGGCGGAAGGTTCCTCAGGTGCTCTGGTCTTATCCTGTTGACACCTGCTGTTCGATTTTTCACCGCAAAAATGGCGTGTCGGATTTCGGAAGGGAGAACTGGTAGTAGAACATATCCATCCTCCTTTATTTCATATTACGGAAGGTGGACTTGGCTATCGAAGAGATCTGAGTAGCATTCGTGAATGATTTTCTCCATTGCCTTTCTGGACGCCATAACTATTCCGTTTGGGCGCCGGAGTGCAATCATTTTGGTCTTGTAACTGGCGAAGCTTCGGTGGGCTTTGCAAACGCTTTTCCCAGCCTCTACAGCTTCGACCATTACTGCTGCTCTTCCCTCTTTAAAATTTTTTTTATCGCCTGTCTGCATTGTTTTGCAAGTTCGGACGTTTGTTCGCTGTTGCCTGCAGCTCGTGCGAGTTCACGCTGGCGTATCAACTCGAGTGTTTCTGGAGACAAACGTCTCTTGGTAACTTTCGAACTCTCAGCTTTCATAGCGCTAACGTGAGGATGTTGAATGAGCCGATCGTATTCTTCATCGATGTTATCGACAGCGGCATCTTCCCAACAGCTGACTAATGAATTGAATAAGTCCCAGTTTGCAGTGGTTCTGGGACTTCGGTTTTTGAATTTAGCGGCTTTTTTTCCTTCCCGCGAGGAATAGAATCTTGCACGAAGGAGACGATGATCTGATCCCGTGTAGAATTCTGGGACAACAGCGACGTCGGTTAGGCAAAACCTTCTATTTACAATGTGGTCTATTCCGTTATGGCACTCTCCACTGAGAGACTCCCACGTCCAGCGTTGAGGATAGGACTTCTGGAATTGCGAGTTACCATAGATTGTCTTGGTCACTATGATAAACTCAGCCGCTCGCCCTGTTCAATCCATTCTAATCCACGGCTCCTAATGTGACGTTCTTCAGACGTTCTTCTTCCTCCAATTTTGCCGTTGAAATCTCCATTGATGACCTTGAAGAATGTGTGGTTTTCTCTGTAGAACTTCTCCAAGTCCAAATAGAACGCTTCAACTTCTTCTTCGTCATAGTTTGATGTCAGCGCGTAAACGACGAAGATTGTCAAAGCCAAAATTGATCCACGTCTTTTTAATCGTAAACGTCCGATTCGGGTTGTAAGTTGTTCGTATGAATCGATGTTCACGGACAAACTCATGTTCACGAGAACGCCGACTCCCTTACTGTCGCATGTTCCGAGGAACAGTTATTTACCGGTGTCATAGAGTCATAGACGACGTTGAATGTGTGGCGTTGTCTCGTCTCGGCCAGGCCGATGGTGTCGTACCCTAACCTTCTTGCTTGTATGAGCAAGTCTTCTATCGAAGACTCGGATGCAAGTGTGTGTGCATTGTATGTACAGGTCGTCACCATAGTTCTTAGTGATCTAGGCAGCTTACATTGGCCCTGAGATTTTAGCAGCCTCTCCGTACTCGTCCTACCCAACGCTGCGGAAATGGAGGCTCTTTCAGGATCTGGGGATTGAGGCTCGTTTTCTTTTTTTACTGTGTTTAGTGTTTTTGATACTCACGTATAGCTTGCTTGGCTCTGAACGTAGGGGGCTCTGGGTATAATCACGGGTAGCTGGCCAGGCTCTCCCAGAGTGGACATGGAGCTTATTTGTTGGACGCGACCCCTAACCGCCTTCCATATACTTCCCTGTCACTTGATTGCAGGCTTTTGGCAGAATTGGCTCGTAGAATACAATTCGCATGAGCGAGAACGCATCCACACATACATGCATGAATACGCCTATCAAATACAGAAAGTATGCGCTAAATCGGCGCAGCAGAAACAGGAAGTCTATCCCCTGGATCTACCTGCGTCTCAGGGAAACAAAGGTCGCCTTTGGTCCGCGATTAACCCCTATTCGTCAGGTGGAGACGTCGTAGCCTCGCGACTAACCTGCTCGGGATCCCTTATATGAAGGAAATCCCTGGGCATTTTCCTTAGATGATGAAAAAAACTTGTTATTAATGCTTAGGTTAATTGGAAGCCGGTCTCTTGAATAAATAAAGTAACAGCTCTTTTCGAATGACACTAGCAGCCACTTCCGATCTTCTGGAGGAAGATTAGCTAGAAGGCCAAGAGGACGTTATCTTCTTTGGAGGCCCTTGCGCAAGCAGCCGCAAGGCCTGCCAAGGATTAGCCGTCAGTTACTGCGCCTGTTTTTGAGATGAACCCATCCATTGACTATAACTCTAAATCCCAGCAGCCGAATTTATTGTTTACCCCGCGTTTTTTTTACTACTACTTCATAGAACTATCTTAAAATTCCGACCTAGAAACAATTGCAAGTGGATTTGAGACGATCTGTTTTTACCTGATGCATAATGTGAACTGCTGGTGCCAACATTGCGACGGTTGCTCGTGATTCTTGTCTGGAATTCGTGAAATACGGGAGATCAAGATAGCATCGAAAGGAAACATGATTCGGTGACGAGAAAAGTCGATGATAATTGCTGACAAAGCAAATAAATAAACATGAGGTGAAGTATCATCTGTAAAAACTCAACCAGGTAGTTTCACAAAAATTTTCGCTAGAAGCTCTGTTAAGCTCATTGTCTCATTTTAGAACAACCGTCCACATAAGGTACGAAATTATTGCCGTTTACATGAAACTCCGTAAAATCGCTATGGCTGCTTTGTCTCATAGGATGACGTTCGTGGATTCCGGACAGTATGAAAGGACCAGTGCTCGTTCGTAAAACCACTGGCTTCCAGCCCTTCTTTTTGCTCCTTCAATTCAAATACTCTCTCCTTGCATTTAGTTAATTTGATTGCATAATTTCTTGAACCTAGTTATTAAGAGCACCTACTCCCACATACCACTCTGTAATTATTGTTATTATCCAGAAAGGCAGGTCATAAGATTCTCATAAGTGGACAAATCACAGCTTTATGCTAAGTGTTAGCCATTCGCCGCCATCGATTAGTTATAGCAGTTCTTTTCTTCTGCTATAAGTTCTTCATGCTTATTGGTCAAGTGGTTTTGTTAACATATTGCATGCAAAAAAGTTTAATTGGCCATGTTTCAGGGTTCAACTTTGTCTTAGGAGACATCTCAAGTTCTGCGGTGCAACCTACAGCAAAGCTAAAGATTTTAGTGCTCAGTTTATGTAAAACCCTCTAATAGTTCCCAGGATCGACTTTCTATTAACCTCGGCATTGGAATATGAATGTGTCATTTTCTTGTTCAGCAATCAGTCATAAACTATAATCAGCTGTTCTAAACCTCCTCATTGGAAGTCACGAAAAAGCGGCTCTGAAGAAGGCGATACGGCCGAAACGTCAGCTAGTGTTGTATTGTATTGTGTTTTTCTATGGAAGTAAATGTATGCTGTTTGAAAACCTCGCTATTGCTGAACAAGAAAAAAACCCTCTAATGTTCTTATGAAAACATTCGCAAATTCCGTTTAGTAGAACCAACAGTGATATTTAAACCTTTAAAAAAACAAGTAAGGTTGAGAACTCTACTAACATGAAAATGTTATAGTGATGGTTTCAAGCACACAGTGGATTTCGTAGCTTTTTTTTTCCAAAGCATTTGAAATCGGTTTCTCAAGACATTTAAGCGAACGATTTAGTTTTGAGGCGACGATAACAATTGTTTTTCTCTATAATAGCTCAGAATTATGCGACGATTTCATTGGGCCGTCACCTGACTGGAAGTCTTTGTCCCACATCGTCCGATTGTGTGGCCAAGTTTTGAGCGTGTTGCTGCATTCTGGATCGCAAACCATTCATTTTCAGGTTGGAATTCTCGTCTGGGCTCACTGTATACATTTCCTAAAGTTCATGTACTCCCTAAATGCAGAATTTTCACTAATTCGATTAAAGGAGAAAGCAATGTGAAAAAATAGCTGCTCAAGCCCAACCATTTTAGTTTTAAAAGATGTTCAGGCTTTTCCTTCCCGTGGTCCTATATGCAAGGATTTGCGAAGGATGCAAGTCTCAGGAAGTGGTTTCCGTTCTGGGAGTCAAACAAACACCAACTAGAACTGAATCTTCTAATTGCATCGACCATTAGAAATCCGATGCTAACAAGTAAACGATGGAAAAATTGGCCACTTGTCGAAGCAAACAAGCGCAGAACTAATTATTCATGATAGCAGATTAGTTAAAGTAGTCATGAGCATTTCCACATCCGTATTTCGGCAAGAACAGCAGGCATTATCGACGACGACGGCTAGACCTCTCAGAGGCTTCATACGTCCAATGAGCGCTAATATACTCGGTTAATGTGGGTAGTAAATGTTGAAACAATTGTAATAATTAATACCTAAATGAATAAGTAATAATGACAAACAATAATAAAACATCACCTTAATCACATATAAATTAAAATTGGGATATTGAGCCTGTAAAATCCAGAAGGCTTTCAAAAGTTAAAAGAAATGAGAAGGGAGTGGGTTAGATGATGATGAAATCGACAACAATGAGGTTCACCGTACTGAGTAGTACGCGTTGAGAACAACTAGTGCATCCACGACCGCTTTTGTAAACTTGCTCCGACACTGAACCACTGTTGACGAGCCCGTTATTAGTTCACAAACCTTGGAAGAACTGCGGCTTTATTAAATTAATAGTAAAGTATCGAAACATATCACACCACACCCATACACCTTATCACAATACTAAAAAAAATTTCTCTTGCATTGTCTTCATTAGCTTATGAAGTACGCAAATGTTCGATGTATATTAAAGGAGGAAGAAACTAAGCAATAACCAGAGAAACGTACATTCAGGAGTAGGCAGAACTTCGTGTACCATTCAGGGTTAGGACAAGCTTGTGGATTCACTATGCAGAGAGCACAGGCTAACATTGTTCCTGGAATGGAAGGTTTTATTTTTCAGATCACTCGACAAGATCACAGAGCGCTGGAAGGTACAATACTCCAATATAAAACGAAGGAATTGCCATAAACTCAATGCAAGGAAGGTTTATTTGGGATATATTGTTTTCACCGATTTCCTCCTCATGAACGCAATTTTCTATCATATTTACTATTGCCTTCATTAGACGATAATCTCTTTTTTTCGTTACTTTCTACGTGATTGTCCTGACACGATGCTGATATATGAACGCAACAACAGTTACCAGCTGTGGATCACCGACTCGAATTAACGCGTCTCTGAAGAAAGCGATGGCGGCGAAATGCTAGCCGAGTAAAAGTTCACATCAACCTCGTGTCAGCCCAATCATTTACAAAGTTATTGAGTATTGTTACCGAGCTTTATTGGAAATCGATTTACAAGGTATTTATTTTCGATACGACGTTTGGCCGGTCCAGGATGCAGTGGCTAGATGGGGGGGGAAACGTTATTCGCTTTGGAAGGATCCTTCGATCGAAGTAGATTAACCGCTGTCCAATTTTAGTTCTGCATCTGCTCTCATTTCTACGATCGGCGTCGCTTCATTAAAACTTGTAATAATGGCTTCAAAATGTGACAGGAGTAATCAAATCAAAAGTAACAGGTAGCAATGATAATTTAGATCTAATACCAGCGCCAAATTAAACCCTAGAGTAGTTTCCTCCTTAAATATCAAGCCTTGTCCTCAATCTTGCTTGAGCCACCACATGCTCATCTGACCAAATTTCACATATACATATTTCACATATTTCGCATATGCATAGCATTTCTGCTTTCCAACACTTTCATGCTTTGTTAGTGAGCGCTGATTTACAGGACGCGAGATCAACACCATTATTCATCTTTGCATGCAAGAACGATGACGGCACTGACCACTATTCGGCATTTTGCTTAGCTTTCCAGCATTGTCCCAAAAATGGCGAACCATAAACACTAACCGTAATTACTGCTTCTCCGCGTTTATATCGGCTTCTGAGACAGCTGCGATGCCACTTAGCTTTTCTCACGATTTTGTTGTGTCTTTCACAAATCCCAACTCTATTTGTATCTAATAGCTGGCCCTATTTCCTTGAATTTCGTGGATATTTTTTATTCGGAAGTGTGATGAATGAGCTATTCGACCCTCTGGCATCAAATTTCTAAGGAACGCACCCTTTTCATCAGAGCTGTTATATTATTTCATCATACGCACCGAAAAAAATCCGCGAACAAAATTGCTTTGGATCTGGATCGTGTATTCTCTTCACAACTGTTCACTTACAGATGTGCCGATTTTTTTCACTACATCAGACGTCATAGCCTATTCTGCGCTGACTTGCTGAGGACAGGTGAATTTTGGGTACGATGAGAAGTCGCTGTCCGACCAGCTTTCTATTGAAGACAAAGGTTATCTTTCATTACCAATGCAATTCTTTGATTTCTGTGATGCAAATTAAGCTCTATGAGTACCGCATCGACCCCTATAAAAAGACAAAAAGTAAAATTTTCAGCGTTGACCAGTACCTTAAGGAAGGCACTATGCATTCAACTCCAACAAACATCGTACAGGTGATCGAAGGATATTTGTCATACACAGTGACTAGCTGCGTCTTATCGGTGCACCAAGTCACTGTTTATGTTCTCCCAGACAAATTTTTTTATCTACCTACCGAGTCGATCCATGGAAAAGTGGATGAGGTCAGTTAATTCAGCAAGCGGGATCGAACCAAAAGTTAGATGTAATGCAGCGCCCCTTTAACCCTGCACAAGCGCCATTCGATCCCTATCCGTACTCACATCGCTGTTTTTCACTCCATAGTTTCGCTAATGAATTTTGGAGAAAGAAGCTTCAAAACTATTCGAAAATTTCGCTCCTAATGCTGAACTTAAAACCACATGTTTTCGAAACCTACTAGATTCTTAGAATATCGCCCTCTATAATCAGAATATTCCAATTTTGTTATTGAGTCATCGTCCACGAAAAGATCTGATTATCATTCCAGGCTTTGAAACTCCTTTACAACATTACTCGGAAAAATACTATAGGTTATGAACATTTCTACGAACTTTTAATCGCAACTCACTATGCCTATTCACAAGTAATATCGCCTTACAATTTACAAATCTTTTTGAACGTCAGAGAATTACGACAAATGCTAGCTTAACCAAGCAATTCCGACAAAGTTGTATGTTCTGTCAAGTTTCCAAATAAAATTACTATGATATAGGGGAATGGATCAGTCAATAAAAGATTTTATCAAGAGTCATAGTGAGCGGATTGTTGTCAACAAACGTTATTAGTCGGTTTTATAATATTTCTAAAGTATGATTTATCTCCTTATAATGATCAGGTCTAGAATGAGGTGTACTTGAAGGTGTCGAATTGCGATGTGACGCACCAACAAGGTCACCTAGTTTGTAAAGGCGTTTGACATTCGTAGCTGGAATCCCCAGCTTAAGGTAAACCTGGGTGGCAACAGAGTGCACTAAGTTACCAGATGCTTAGGGTCTAAAAAGGTATCATACCAATACCATGAATGTGAGTCTCTCAGTGTCTCTTGCACGAGCAGAGCTAAGTAACCAGCTCTGCTGAGCGAAAGAGACCTAAGAAGTTTATTGTTGCCTGCTCGAGGTGACTTGTATCACCTGTTGTCCTGCTTAAACGTCGAGTGACTCCAGCGGGCGGCAGTAAATCTTCCATTTTCCCCATCGCGTGCAAGAGCAGCCCAGTGGGTTCTGCCCGCTCTAGGGACTCGTCGAGCATCATATCTTTCTTCAAGGCTCTTCGTGATAAGCTCTGACCATCGGATCAGTGGTCTTCCTGCAGTACGTTTGAAATCCCGAGGAATCCAGTCACTAACGGCTCTTGTCCATCGGTTGCCATTCATACGAATTACATGTCCGGCACACCTTATCTTCGACTGTTTGGCGTACAGAACGTCATCTATGATTCTTGATCGTTGACACAGGTCGGAGCGTCGGATCCCTTCCCTTATTTGTGTGAAGCGGGATGCTCCTAGCATCGTCCTTTCGACTGCGTGTTCAATAACGCTGAGTGATCTTTCATCCTGCTTACGCAGCGACCAGGTTTCTGACGCATACGTTAGGGCAGAAAGCACCGTTGAGTCAAAAACGCGGTCATGGGGTCGGGTGTTCTTTGTTTTCCCTACTACATTCTCGATGATCTTGAATGCTCCCCTAGCCGCTCGTTTCCTTGTGCTCAACTCTGGAGATAAGTCGTTCAACATGTTGTTTTCCCGACCTAGATAGACATAACTGGAGAATTCGTTGAGCGTGAATGGAGCATACGAGACCAATCCGTTCCTAATGAACATCGTTTCTGTGAGATTTAGTGGAAGACCAATCTTTCCACAGGCTCTACCAAAGTCGGCAAGTATACGTTCAGCTTGGCTAATGTTCCGTGTTATAAAGACTGTTCGAGCTACTTAGTAATTAATGGGATTGTAGGTCATAGGACATTTGTTGATTACACTTGGAGAGTATACGATTTTAGCGAATCATATGTTTTTGTTTTCCTACTTTTGAAAACTCATGTGAAAATTGTTTCCGGTTTGAATGATTTCTTCACCGAAACTGTCTGGAGTATTTCATATCTTTCAGACTAAAAAACACTATTGTGAACCTGTTTTACCTAGTCCTTTAAGATGCTTAGGAATCTTCTAAAAGTTTCAAGGAGATACTTTGCGGACATCTTTGACTGTAGTCACTCAAAATAGCCCTTATAACTTTCATATCTCAAAAACACACAATTATGTTAGCAAGAAAAGAGACTTCTTCGTCTTCTTCTTCTTGGATGGCCTATCCTCACTTATTGTGCAGGCCTCAGCATAATGCGTCGTTTTCTTCTTCAGCAATCGCGAGGTTGTTAAACAGCATACATTTACTTCCATAGAGAAACAATACAATACAACAATAGCTGACGTTTCGGCAGTATCGCCTTCTTCAGAGCCTGGATTCCCAAATCGCAGTAATCAGGCGGTAAACCATTGGGAGAAAAAGGAAGGCTACAAAGGTTTAGTCAATTAAAATGTAAATTAGAACGAAGGCTTACGAACAAGTGCATAGAATGACGCTTGTTAGCTGCTTTAAAGAATTCTGGAGTGCTCCGGTACTCCTAGGAGCCATCCTTAAAATAGCGAAAGGCAGGATATTCTATCTCATAGAAGCTGTAGACAGCCAGAAAATCTCTGCATTGGAAACAATGCTCCTTAAACGACCAAAAATTCACTACTTTACAACGCCATTTCATCGGTATAAGGAGAAGTTCGAGAAATTGATGTCACCCCAGTAAAGTGATTTACATCCAACCTTGAGAAAGTTATGCGAAAACCGGAATAGGGTAATACGGAAATGCAAATCAACAGTTGGTAATTGCACTATGTTGGCTTTAGTGACAATATAGTTCTTATAATTATCCAGGTGAAATTAATGCTGGCCGTATCGACGATGCCTATGGAAAAACTGGGTTCCGATTACATCCGAAGGAGACGATTCACATCTGACGGCATATTCACGCTGAACGGAACGAATACCTCAGAATGCTCCAACTATGCATTCCTGAACTGGACACGGTAAATGGTTGAACAGAGGTAGAGTAGGAGGAACGCAGAAACATTCTGCGTCATACGAAAACGAGTAGAAATGAGGCGTTAGCTACAGGAAGACTATTGAACTGATGGTCATACTCAAACTTTTAATGAAGATCGTGAAAGAAAATATGATGATTCAACAGGTTCTCGCACACGTCGGAGTAAGGTGAAGATCTAATAGATACTAGGTCAAGTTATTCGATGATCAACGAGGAGATGGATGATTGAGGCTATGTTCATAAGGATAGAATTTTGCTGAACCAAGGAAATTTGTTCAAGGGCCCCCTTCGATCACCTCCTTTATTCGTACTGTCCTCACCAGATCAACCTAAGAAGGCTCATAATAAAATGTACCTCTCTTTTTCCACTTATAAAGCTAAGAGCAAGAACTACAAAACATCGAAGCAGATTTGAAAAGAGATTTTCTTCGTATTTTTGTTGAGCAAACGCGAGGTGTTACTATTCTTTGTTCACGATTAAGCTGACGTTTCGGCGGATTTCGCCTTCTTCAGAGCCGCTTTCTATGAGGTTTCCACTAAGTATGTCACGTAGAGACCAACCGCACAGAAATCACGTGGAAGTATAATGT